GAGCCCCCCAGGTGCCCCATGCCCCTGTTTATAAGTCTTCTAAACTTGGAGGTGAGAAGGCTTTTCTAACAGACTTAAATCCAGAAGGCTTACCAGAAACTGTTTGGCAGATCTGAGTATGTGTAGGTGTATACACACCTTTCTCAAAGGGAAAAACAAACCACCAAAACCCAACAAATTCTGTCAAAAGACAGGACATACTGAAAAACAAAAATGCAACTGATAATCTCCCCCAAACCTTTGGAAACCCATAACCATCAGCCCTGGTGCGTCTCACGGGGCAGGCCCGGGGCCTGGCCCGCAACGATGAGCTCAGATATCTGCCTTCCAGCCCTGTGAAGCGGCCTCAGTGAAAACACGATTTCGCAGCTGCAAATCCAAGCGGAAAAGTTAGCCTGCCAAAATCACGCAACATAGTATGAAGTTAACGTGTAAGGAGACTTCTGTTTGGAAAGCCTGTAATATGAACACGATATATGTATGAGGGGGTCCCTAGAAATCAGGCAACAGCCCAATGGAAGAATGGCCAAAAGATGTCCGAAGTCGCTCAGAATGAAAGATGTGTCAAGTAGAACTACACCGAAATGTCATTCTCCACTCGTCCGCTTGGCAAAAATGTGCACGTTTAACCACCAGCTTCTTGACAAGAGAAGAGGGAAACAGGCACACTCGTGCATTACTGTGGGAGCGTAATTTGGAATAATCCTTATAAAAGGCAATTTCCCAGTCCTCATGAGGATTATAAATGGAGCTGTCTTCTGACCCAGCAGTTTCCCTCCTGGAAACTAATCCTACACGTGGACCTACCCACATGATCATGTTTGTATAAGGTTATTCATTGCAGCCGTATTTGTGGTGGGAAAGACGGCAAACAACCGGGATGACATCAGCAAGAAGTAGGTTACATAAAGGATGGGACAAGTGCACGGGGGACGCGACACATCTGGGAGAGATATATGAGAATCTCCCAAGGTAAATTACGTGGGAAAAAGAAGAAAGCAAAATGGTGTATATAGTTCATTACCTTTTTGTAATAGCAAAGGGAGAGAAAGATAAACACATCTGATGGTCGACGCCTTAAGATTAATGAGAAGGCAATGCCAGGTGACCTTGCTGGCAAAAGGTGGGGAGCAACACGGGAGGGGCCGGACACCAGGCAGACCAGAGGTCATGAGTGTGACGGAGATTTCTCACCATATGTCATTTTGATTTGTGAACCCTGTAAAGATACAACTTATTTAAAAAGTGGGGGAAACACAAGAGCTCCAACATTGTGTTTTAGGGCAGAACTGGCATTTGAAAAAAAAAAAAAAAAAGAACATAAGCTAAAAAGCACAAGTATCAGAAAAGAGTTAAAATTACCATCATCTGCAGACGACCTAATTTTCTTCTTGGAAACTCCCAGACAAATCAAAGCAGAACACAGCTTGTTAGAAACAAAGTTTCTAATGCGGTCAGTTGGATCAACACAGAAAACTGGTGCTTTCAGATACAGGAGCAATAACCAGTTTTAAAGTGTAGTAAACAAAAAAAAATCTCATTCGTCAGGACAAGAGAAAATGCAAACCCCTGGGGAATTGCGTGATCAAGGAATGGTGTGGATCCGCAGGAAATGAAGCCTGGGAGGGATAGGGCAGAAGGTGGGTCCAGTCGGAAATACTCTTCTGATGGACTCAAAGCCACCCTCTAACAACAGTGCAAACTCCCTGAATTTATCTATACATTTAGCACAATTCCAAAACAGATCTCACCTGGATAATTTCAGAAACACCATCCGGGGTTCCTAAAGGACATCCGGGAAAGTAAGCATGTAACATTGCAGGAGATGACTAGCCGGGGGTGGGGGGTTATTCTGAATTAATCGTATAGCAATACTAATCCTATTGGGGCGCCCGGGTGGCTCGGTTGGTTAAGTGTCTGACTCTTGATTTCGGCTCAGTTCATGATCTCAGGGTCATGAGATCGAGCCCTGTGTTAGGCTCTGTGCTCAGCAGGGGATCTGCTTGAGAGTCTCTCCCTCCCTCTCCCTCGGCCCCTCCCTTCCATGCCTTCTCTTTCTCTCTCTCTCAAATAAATAAGTACATCTTTAAATTAAAAAAAAAAAACATGGAGGAAGTGCCAGAGGAAACCAGATTTGCACAGTAGGACACAAGGGTGGGTAGGGGTGAGGCAAGGGACCACTGCTTTTTGTGAAAAGCCTCCTGGGATTTTTTGAACTTTTAATAATGTCGATGTATGACTTGAATAAAAAAATAAATGAATTAGAAACCCCTAAAGTATTCCTCTCATCCAGGATCCCCACTTCTGGAGGTAACAGGTCCGTGTGAATGTCGCACAATTGCTAGACGCTTGTATCTTACACACGCTGCCCCCCACCCCAGTAGATTTCTCTTTAAAAATGGACCGGATACTGGCATATCATTCAGCAAACCGCTTCTCTCTCTCTGCATTATTTCCTGGTTTGCCCACATTTCTGTTTCTTTAGGATCGATTCCAGAGGAAGGATCGATTCGGAGATGACATGGGTATTTTTCGGGCTCTCTGGAAGGATCCCTCTGACTTACCCCTCAGCAGCCCCGCAGGAGGCCGTTCACCTCTTCAGCAGCTCTTGGTCATGAAAGGGTGTGTTTGCTTGATTTCTAACTACGGAAACATCTTTCATGCATTGTAAGATCCATCCAGCCTCTCCTATTTCCTGACGACAGGGGTCCCATGTTTGCTCACAGCGTTTTGCAGGCTTTTCTTTGGGGCTCCTACGTCCTTCTCTGGTGTTTCAAGGGTAGTGGGGATTTGTTTTACTGAGGGATGGTGAGACAGCAGGAGTGGAAGGGACTGTCTGGAAGGAAGATCCTGGGACCCAGGCGGCATGTCGCATTGGGCCACGCGGGGAAGTACCAGGGACGACAGGGGGGCAGAGGGAGGGGGAGAACACAGGAGCCTTCACTGTGGTGTCCACAGCAAGGAATGGGCAAGGCAGGGTGGAGAGGCTCAGGTCTGGCTAGATTGAGTCATCTCAGCAGGCTCTGGGGCATCGGGGCTGTGGTCCTTCCCTGCCTGGTACCTGCCCCTGGGGCGATTTGGGCAGGGGACAGCGGCCCAGAGTATGGGAACCAGGCGAAGGAGACAGGTGGGGGCTCTGGCCTGCCTGGCTTGCCTTTGAAAGTCCAGCACCCAGGGGTGTGATTTACTCTGAAGGGAACTGCTAGCTCTTTCAAGGAATTGGCTAACTGGGAGTCCCGTCTCTCCGTGGTCTGCAAGGCACCCCATGTCAAAGGGTCAGAGCACAGAAAACACAGACATGGTTAACATATTTGGCTTACCGGTATGAAATTTTTACATGCAAAGGACAGCAGGCCATTTATTTTTTTTTAACCACGATGACCCACTTAAGACCTTGGTCTACAGACTCATCCCGGGGTAAGAACTTCTTTTCCCCAGACTTCTGAATTTCTCTGAATATGTCTTCTTTGTGCCCTTGCCTTCCACCCTGTGGTTGAAAAATATTTTTAGTAACAGTGTGTACCTGCCAGGGCTGGGTGTGAAGATGGAATGCCGGTCCAACCCATAGGTCTGGCCAGAATTCCCTCTTCAGTAAACGTTAGCTTCCGTCCTTTTATTTGTATATACACAAATGTATATTTGTAAACGTGTAAACATACAAATATGTCCCCCCACATTTTTCCCGGTAGCATTTTTCTTTAAGCACACATCCATTTTAATTTTTAAATAAAATTTTCCTTTTGATTCTCAATGTTTATCCTTTCTAAAGACAGCGCTGAATGGTTGAGTTCATAGGTCTAGTCATTAGACAAACTGTGGTGTTTCGAATCTGGACCTGCCACTGAGTGAGTACCTGGAGAAATCGTGGCACCTCTCTGTGACTCAGTTTCCTTCCCTGTGCGGCACCCAAAGAAGACAGGCCAGGGGCTGGAAAGGCACATTTGGGGATCCTCCCCCAAGATTTACTACATATCTAGGCTGCATATCGTGAAGATTCTATCTTAGAGTAGAACGGAGGAGTAAACATGCTTGGATAATTGCTGGGTGTAATTACATGCACACACTCGAAGTTTACCAACAAATGCACACAGAATTAAAAAAAAAAAAAAAAAAAAAAAGCACAAATGTCATTCCAGTTTCACAACAGCACCACCTAGTGACAAACGCACGAAACACACCCTCAACGTCACCCGCAGCTCAAGAAGGGCGAAATGACGAAGCAGCGTAGGAAAAAAAAGGCTGAAATCAAATTGCCTTTCTCATTGTTAGAAAGCAAGCACCCTATTCTGTTTCTCCAGGGCTATACTGCCTCACCTCTTCACGGCTTGGAATTCCTTCTTATCCGCCTTGTCACCAGACCCGTCTAACCATGGAGAGAAGCCTGTTTGTCAAGGTCTGGGGCCGCTCGCGAGTGACATCTGTCTTCGTGCGTTGTTTCTGCTTTCCCCAAGTTGGCCACATCCCTCTGGAGAAACTGCCCCCCTCAGTGGGACCCTTCCGTTTCGGGAAGGTGTGGCTCAGCACATTGCCTGGCAAGGCCGTGGGGGACAGAGGTTTGCTCTCAGGGGGACGGATCAGGGTCCACTCCCAGGCAGATACTTTCCGGCTGTGCATTCCTGGGCATGTGTCTGTCTGTTGGACTTGGAGGACACCATGTCCTGGCAGTGGGATGGGCGAGCAGAGCCCCTCATGGAGCACCCGCCCGGCCCAGGTCAGTTCCCCCCAGGAGGAGGCTGAACATCCCGTGCAATCTTTCGACCCCTTAAACGTGTGTTACCTATTCCCAGTCTCATCCCACTCCTGAGGGTCCTCACGTTCCAAAGCAAGGTGGGTCTCACAGACTGGGCTCGGACTCGCCCTACGCTCAGCCTTCTCTCTGATGCTTTCCAGGAACCCCTACGGTGGCAGTGGAGGCGAGCAGCCGAGGAGGACGTGCCCGACAGTCATCTTGGAAGAACGACTTGAACAAAAGCATCAAAACAATTCCAAGGCCAACAGGTTGAAAGTATTGTTTATTCAAACAAACCAAACTCCTTTTGTTTCCTTTTCAATGGTATACATCTTAAAGTCGTGGTGCATACAAGTAGAAAAATAAGATTCTTATAGAAAACTTGAGTTTTGAGGCGCACAACCCCCAGGGCAGGGCCATAGTCATGGGGCCACCTCCGAGGCAGGGTGCACGTCCCCTCACCCCAACTGCTGGCCCACACGCTTCCGTGTAACTCCACATGGCACACCGAAACACAGGGGACGCCCAGAAGGGAAACAAGTTATCTTAAGCCTTTTCAGAAATACAAGTTGCACACAGAAATACATTCTGCAAAGCCCTGAGGCTGAGGGAGCACGGCTTCAGAAGACAAGGTATGCGAGCTCCCAGCCCGAGCAGACACTCCGCGAGGCAGCAGCGAAGTCACCCTTCTTAAGAACAAAACAAATCCCAGAGTGCAGGCGCTGAACATAGGGGTTTCAAGCTTGCCGTCTATCTGACTATGGGAATGGACAGAAATAGCAGGAAATACCTCCCCCTAGATTACAAAAACCCGGCTTTTATCAGCACACGGCCAATCCCACTTGCTTTGTTTTTCAGATGCACTGATTCCCAAAGTACACAACCCTTGCTCATGCGGCCCCTCACACGTTCGGGGTCATTCCAAGTTCAGACAGGACCGCCAAGCTCACCGTTAAGAATGTGTACCACCTTCCACCCTAGATAACACATTATCTCCAAGGAGAAGGAGAAAAAGCAATTCCAAGTCGTTACCCCTAGCAACAGAGAACACAAAATTGTACAAGGAAATGGAATTAAGGAAGTTTATTTTGGGTGATTTTCACTATAGATGAAACAGATCCTTAACCAGCTTTGTTTTTTACCTCGGAAAGATCATCTTTTAATGTTTTCGTAACTTTCATTCAGAAGCATTAACTTCGAAATTGTAAGGCTTTGTAATTTTACTTCGATGGGGAGACAAAAGCAAGCGAAAACCCTGGTTTTATGGGAAACCTTCAGCAGCCTGTACAAACGGCATTTCACGGAGAAAAAGGAAGCCCCACCCTTTGGAGACACCTACCTTCTCATGGTCTTCTGGTCCATGCATGCCCCATGAAAAAAATACACATATTCCAACCTTAATGAAGAAAATCCTGTGGAAAAACCCCAAAGGTAATGAAGGTTTCCAAGATGCTCAAGGCTTCAATTCTCCCCTTGGTGATGCTATTCTATGAACCTCTTTTATAAACTGATCGTGTGCAATTACATAAATCATTATTACAAATCTGTATTGGCAAAATACTGTAGGTCTGGAGTACATCTGTGCGTGGCAACGTCCACTCTACCGGTTTATCCACTTCTGTTGCTGCACAAATATGTCTCCCTCTGCAAAGGAAGCTGTTCACGTCTCCTCACTGCCCCATGGGCTCAGGCAAACGCCAATGAGCAAGTACTTAGAGGCGAGATGGGGATTTTACTAGCACACCTGTCCTGCGTCCTGAGATGCTAGCTGGACACAACCAGGCTCTCTGCTTTGGCAACGGTGCCCAACCAGTACCCGAGGGCATCCCAGGACACGTGGAGGCCTTCGGGCTTCGAAGGTCAGGTACCCTGGAGCGGCTCTTGCGGTGCGTGGGCTGGATCTGGATTTATCTGGATCTGTATTGATGGACTGAGGTCATGTGTCCTCATAACACTCAAAATTAACCCCAGGCGACTTGAGGTTTCACGGATGCAGCGGTGTCACAATAGGGCGGATGTCCTCACCAAACCAGGACGTTTCTCCAAGCCCCGCCTGGCTTGAGCCTACTGAACTGCATATTCTGACTAGGACAGGGGGAGCTCCAGGACGTCAAGGCCCCCGCGAGATGCTGCACGGTCACGCTGATGTGGGGTAGGGGTGGGGTGGCTCAGGGGCTGACACTCCTTCCTGACACACAAGCGTCTGACGGCAGGTGCTCCCCGAGAAGGAATGTGGTCAGGAACCAGTCGGATTCTTTCTGAAATCAGTGGGCTGCCCCGGCAGGGTTGGGGGGATGTGGCTGTGTCCGAGTCGCTGTGACCTTCAATGCGACTGTCAGGTGCTCAGACCCCAAAGGTAACTGCCGACCACCCCCACTCACTTCAGCCTCTTGATCCTGTCCTATGGACCCCAGCGCACAAACTTGAACCTACAGCCTAAGGACTGTGACTTGCTCGGGAGTTCATGTGTCTGCAGTTTTGTTAGAAGGCAGGTGTGTCTAAATATGGCTGCAAAGCAAGGTTCTCTTCCACAAACTATAATCCTGAGGTTCCTTTGGAAAGTCTTGAAAAGTAGGGGTGCAAAAAAATCACTTCCAAGGGTGGACATGGGTAGCCCAGAACCTCCTGGGATGTCCTCAGTTTACCCAGCCCTTGAAGTCATCTGCTGACCAAGGGATACAACTTCCTACCCCACCTCCCTTCCCCCATTCTAGAACCTTCCAGGTCCCAACCATCCCCTTTCCTATTCCTCGAATGAACCAGTCTTCACCTGGCTGGGGCCAAGTGTAAGGGGCCACATTCTCCCTTGGCCCACGTTGACATCAGACACATGACTCCAGCTCGAACACTCTGGAAGCGTGGGACTCGTGGCTGCGTGGATCACCTCACATCTCCAGCCGACGCTGTCACTTCATGGGTAAACCTGAGGGTTCTTGGGATGAATAAAAGCCACTTCCCCAGAACAGCTTCTTCGCTTTCTTTGACAGCATACTTTATGTGTCTTCTTTCCTTCCCCACTCTCAAAATCTATTTTTCCTGTGGCCATTTAATTGGTAAAGCGCCATTAAGTCCAAATCTGAAATTCTTAAAACCCACCAGAAGTGTCCGCGACAGCTGCTGCCGTTGCGGAGTTTCCTTGGTACTAAAAATCTAGCATCTCCCGAATTTTACATTTTACGATGTTTAGTAGTTTCTCCTAAAATAGAAAAAACATCGGCGGCAAGCGTTTTGTCTGAACGGTTCCGTGATCCGTTCTGATCAGTCTGCGCAGGACAAAGGCACTCCAGGAGCTCACCCAAGGATCTGGTTCCCGCTCATGAGTGGGGGAAACTCGATCGTTGTTGGATGAGGCTTTTGGGGGAAGTGATTTATTCCCTGTGACTCATGTGGCCCTAGGCCAGAACTTAGAACTGAACCACGCTTGGCAATCCGCCACGCAGGGGCCTGGTAAGAGGAATGTGGCAAATTTTCATTTGCACAGGAACCTATTAAATTATGACAATCTTCTCTCACTTCTTCAAGAAGATAATGCGATCCCTAAATCAGGCCTGCTTGTAGTCCCCAAAGCTCTGAGGAGCTGTTAATGCTGCCTTGCTGGGGATTAGTTTCCTAATTTTGAATTATAACTGACCCCAAGGGATCCCCAACCCAAAACCTCTGCGTCTCCCAGTGAGTCAGGTAAAATCCTCCCAAACGTTCGGGAGCGGACCACGTTCCGGCAAACATTCCCAGAAGCGACATGCCAAGAATGTTTAATGCCAGGTACTTATTTTTTTGGTTCAGAAGAAATACAGCAGATTCTACGGGAGATGCCAGACAATCTGGCACCAATCACGGTGGTATGTTTTAAAACTCCTGGGATGGGGGGTGGGGGGAGAAAAATCAGACGCAGTCGTCATCTTGTTTCTTGCTAGTTTCCATAGTTCCAGCTGCTAAAGACAGGATTTCGTTTGGGGCTACCAAATAACTTATCAAGGATACAAAGTATCACCCTAGTAAAAAAACATTTTTCAGGAAGAAGCATCTATTTCTTACGGGAGAGTTGACAGCAACTGACAACAGCAAAATGCTGAGAGCACCTTTCAGGAAAGGACCATCGTCCAGCCTTTTCCAAGGCTGCAAGGTGAAAATGACCCCCTCAGACGGTTGTTACTTCCTTTCCTGCTCAAAGCAAGCCTCCTTGAAGGTTCTCCAAGCTCAGTATCAATTTACAGAACTCAAGGAGGTGGGTGTCACCAACCGGGGTTTTGACTCCAAGTCCAATTTTCGACAGCAAGGCATGCCAGGAAAATGTCCCCCATTCAATTGTCCGTTTCATTCTTGTTGCTAAGTTATGCTTTTGTAATTTAAGCTTTTCCATTAGAATGTCACATCCAGTGACATCTGAGATGAAAAGGTGGAGAACTCGGAGAGGAAATGCAGAGCATTAGAGCATACTTCTTTCAAAGACTGGAGCTTGAAATCGGCCGTGCCCTTAACCTGTACACTGGGAACAGCACCTGCTGATCTACGCCAACAGAAAGGTTCCCAGCTCAGAAACCGAACGCAGGAAACTGGAGAAGACGCTTGTGTGAGGGAATAAGTAGCCAAAGGAACGGGGTGATCTCTGGAACTCCCTCCTTTTCTTTCACGGGTCCGGATTTTCAGAGCACAGGGAAGGTCTGCTCCATGAAGGATGGCCTTCCCTTCTGTGCAAAGTGGACCATAAAATGGGAACCAATGAAAAAGCCCATGGGACGAGAGAATTAGACTTCCAGTGATGTCTAACACTGAACTGTACTTTGGAGTTACTACCATTCACCTAGCCGAGACCAGACACGATAAGGAGTACCTGGTAAGGGCACCCCTGCCTGTGACCCCACGTCCAGAGGGACTCATACGTGCTGCACTCAGATGGTTTCTTGAAGAGGGCCCGGAAGGCTCAGGTTCTAAGATACAATTCAAACCTGCTGCTGCTGGAGCGTCCACCAGGACCCCACAACACGTGTGAGTGACCCCACAGTTCTCCAGCCACATAGTCCCCAGTATGGACGTGCCCTGGTCCAGTGAGCAGAGCTGATGGCTGAAATACCAACGTGCAGGCTGTCTTGGACATAAATGATGATCCAGCCAGAGGAGACACTCCAGTTAGCCCTTTCAGTAGGGTTCTGTCATAGATCCAGCCCATCCCAATAGCAACACAAAGCGAACATTGAACTTGGCATACAAATGAGAGATGGGATATTGCCTTTGAACCCGTCTTCTAATTATATCTGATCAGGGAAGGCGGACTGCATCGAGTTAATAAGGCTTCTGCTTTTTTTTGGGCGATGAAATTAATTGATCAAATAAATGGTAGTAAGAGGGAGGTACCTCACAGAAGGAGAGTACCGCATACCCACCTCATCACCGAAGACTGAACACACCACAGGGAGGAAGCGTGTGGGTCAATGGCTCCACAGATGTGCTCAGGCGTCTGTGCTGGAGTCTAGGGGTTTCTGCAAAGGCAAACACAGGGCCTGAAAGCATGGGAGAAGTTCCTTCAAGTCCTCTGCTCATTTGGTGTCTTCCTTCCCCCGAGAGTTGGTCAGAAGGATGGGCACTGAGCCATTTCCTGCTTTCCCTTCGGCCAGAGATTTAGAAACACAAACAACTAGGCTAGTGATGTGGGATCTGCTTTTCTCACCAGAACACCTTTTGTTAATTTTAAGGAAGAGTAAGCGTGTGAAATAACGGCCCACTTGGCCACAGGACAGCACCTGTTACCCTCGCCTGTTGGAAGGAGGATTCTTTTCAGCAAGGGCAACGGCTGGAACCAGGCTGCCCATAGCCCCAGCTGGGCACAGAGCCCTGGGCAAAGTCTCCACAGAGGTAGCTTTTTATCTTTATACCAACAAGACTACAGAAGCACTGAGTACAAAAGCGTAGGTTTCCTTCCCACTCTACCACGATGGACAAAGTCTTTCCTCTTCAGAAGAGGCTGGTGAAGACCGCTGAGTGATGTTCCCCTCCGAGAAGGTTCTGGCTCTCACTCAGAGCACAGAGAGGCTCAGACAAGGGCTCTGTTTCCGGGTCAGAAGCAGGCAGGATGGTGAGACCGTCAGGCCCTGGGCTGGTTCTCTTGCCACCATATCGCAAACCTCTTGTACTCTTGGACCCAGGTGCAAAATACCCTTAAATGTGATTAATATGAAAAGCTTCCCATCAGCTAAGAGCAGTTACGAACCATGAGAACTCACAGCTCCAGAGGCGGAGGAAGAGGAAAACTAGCCAAAAGCTTGCCCCCTCTTTTTTTTTTTTTTTGGTGGCACACTTAGACAGTCTGGCATAACCAGTCCCATAAAGCCTGAAGCCCAATTCACTCTGTTTTGGTTTAGAATGAGGTGGTTTTTATTATAATTTTTCTTGGAAGTGAGGGAGAAGAAAGAAGCTTTAAGATCAAGAATCAGAATACAGTGAATCTGGAAGGCGTCTGGGAGCAGAACAGATTTGAGACTAGTGGACCAGGAAGACACCCTCTGCCTCATGACCTCGCCTGCTCCGCGGGTAACGGAATTCTCTTCGCCGAGAGTTCAAGGTCGCTCGAGCTCGGGTTCCGCTCGCTCTTCATTTCCAGCGATGCCGGACGAGCGAGGACTCGTCATTGACCACCTCAGGGTCGCGGGGCAGGTGCCGACACCGAAAGGGAAGGAGCAGCAGGACGATGAGGGTGAGAAGGATGATTCCACACACGCTCATGAGCGCGTAGGACACAATCCACAGGATGGGCTCATTCAGAGGCAGGGCGGGAACGCAGTTGCTGGCTATGTCGTCTGTCGAGAAAGGCCCAGAGATTTCAGACACCGGAGAACCTGCAATTTCTGAGGAGACAGAAAGGGGAGAACCACAGCTATGAGGTGAGCAGTCCGTCCGCACCCTTTGGCAAAAGAGAGAAGCGCTTGCGTTAGGAAACGTGCTGCACGAATCCCGGGATATCCCCGCCATCGTCAACCTGACTTCATGCGCTCTGGTGACGATCGTCCTTTCAGTCTGACCCACACTCTGAAGGGGCTCCGGGACTACCCGACCAGACCAGGAGACTCTTCCCCAGCCCCTTGCTCGTTCCGCGTCCCACTGACAGTGCAGGGAGAACCCGGAATCAGGAGGGGTACGTTCCCTGGCCACCCGGGATCAAAGGGACACACAGCTACAATTCGCAGGACGACCGGTGCTCGCGGGCCCTGGGGTAACAGCGTTCTCAGGGAAGGAGGTGAGAGGATTTCTTAAGGCAGGTTTGGGGACTACCGGTCTTTATTTCTCTTCATCGGACGTATCTGCTCTTCTCAGAAGTACAGACTACCTGGCATTTTATGTTTCACTTGCAAAAAGAAAAAAGCATTGTTCCCTGCCTCACCCATGTTTAATCACCATAATGAACATTTAGGCATGAAAAAGCAATGTTGCTACGCATTTCCTATCTCTGTCACTAAAGCCTCAAGACCCTAACGCCTGCCAAATAACACCCTTTTCTTTCTTTCTCTTTCTTTCTTTTTTTACTCAAGAAAGAAAGAGTCAAAATAATAATGGAACAATGGTCTTAACAGAATGGGTTAAAATGAGGGGAAGACACAGACTGGGTGAGAACATTTTCTTGCTAATGTGGATTCTGTTGGCATGGATTCGGGGCTCTTCTGCATGAGCTGGACGAGTCCAGCAATGCACCAGGGCCCGCCTGCACCCAGGGACGGGGGAGGATGGTCTTGTGTCCATCGGGAGCCCAGATGCCCAGGGCCAAAGCCGCTACTTAAAACACACACTCATTGGCCATTTATATAATGTCTATTACAATTTCTTTTTCTCCTGATTTGCAGGGATCCTCTACTGGTAGAACCTGAAGTGGCAAACGCCCTTCCACAGTAGGTCATCTGTCTTGTTAGAGACTCACCTGCTCTGTGGATAGAGAAGCTTTAAGGCATACACTAATGCGGGGGAGGCGTGCTCGGTGCAAAGACCCTGAAACCGCCAAGCGACAGGCCAAGAGCTTCACTGGAAACCGTTTCTTCTTCCAGACCAGATGGAGGAAGAGCAGCCAGATTCACCCCCGACCCGAGACAACTAAAATACTGGGCAAAACACACGAAGAAACAAAGTCTCTGAAGATACTGCGAACGGAGCAAGGAGCACGAAGTCCTGTGAGAGGGGAGGACAGATGAAGCGAGCCCACAGTTGCCTTGAGAACATTTCTGGGTTTGGCACAGGGAGGAGGGACATGGGCAGAGGTGGGCAGCCTCCTGGGCCGGAGGTACAGGCAAGGCTGGGAGGGCAGGGTTGGGAGGCAGGGCAGGGCCTGTGGGGGGGCAGGGCTAAGGCTGGGACAGGGCTGGGGCTAGGACTGGGCTGGGGGGCAAGGCTGGAGACAGGGCTAGGGGGCAGGGCTATGGAGGACAAGGCTGGGAGATAGGGTAGGGCTGGAGGGTAGGGCTAGGCCTGGGGGGCAAGGCTCGGAGATTGGGCTGGGGGGCAGGGCTAGGGAGCAGGGCTGGGGGCTCCTGGAGTTCGAAGGCACAATGTAGGGCAGAAATTCCATGCATCCGAAGGGCAAGGCTGAGTGCTGACCACACACGAACAGAGGCTGGTCAAAGGACCACTGGGAAAGATTAGAAAGAAAGAGCTCGGAGCTCCCGGCTGAGAACAGTACCCACGGCCAACTGCTTCCTGTTTACTCTGCTTCCCCAAGTGGAAAAAAGAAAAAACCAAAACAAAAACACCCAAGCAGGAATTCACAGGGCATCCGTTAGAGCTTTAAGGGTCTCTCCTCCGCCCGGTGGGCCAGGGGCGAAGAACCGCACACGGCACACTGCTCTGATCTCATCTAAAGCTTCTGAGCAAGGCAGGCAGGACTTGTAACCTAAACGCACCCCAGGACACAGCTCAGGAGCACCAGCAAGAAGACGAAAGTGTTCAGCACCTTTTGGCTACCTGGATCCAATTTCAATGTGCTGGGGGTTAAATTACCAACAGGGGATTCTCCCACACCAGCAGGGTGTGCAGGAGTTCAACTCACTCCTGACACTATCTACCCCGGAACAACATCAGATCCCACAGGTGAAGTCCCACCCGCCTGCCCCTCCCCCACTACTTCCAATGAGAGTGATGAGAGTGAAGAGCCCAGGGTGTTGTCACCTGTGCTTCTGAACCACCGTTTTGCACCAAAGAGGTCATCTCAAGAATTCTTTCTGGTCATCAGCTCTGGACCTCACCCCACCAAACCTCGCTTGTATCTAAACTTTCATCAGAGGTTCCAGCCACTCCCTGATCTTGAGCCTGACGAATTTGCAGGAGCGGCTCAGGGAACCCAGAGAACTGACTAGATTACTGATTTATGACAAAAGCCCGTAACTCAGGAACAGGCAGATGAAGAGATGCCCAGGGCGAGGTCTGGGAAAGAGGGGGCGCTTCCGTGCCCTCCAGGGTCCTCCGCGTTCACCAGCCTGGAAGCGCTCCAAACCCTCTCTTTTGGGTTTTTATTCTGGTGCCATTGCACAGACAGGACAGATGAAGACAGATGGAGACTGCTTCGACCTCCAGCCACTCTCCTTACCCCAGGTCAGGGGGTGGAATGAAAATTCCCCCCAGGAGTCGGGCCAGCCCCACCCTTGGAGGTTTTCCAAAGTCCTTATTAACATAATAAAGGACATCTTATCACTTAGGAAATTCCAGGAGCTGGGTGCCAGAAATGGAGACAAATACCAAATACATATTTCTTATAAATCGTAATGTCCCAAGCACCCGGCAAGGTGAAGTTCACAGTGTCTGGCATCCAATAGAAAAATGCCCAAGTATGCAAAGAAGCAGGAAAACACAATTTGTAACTCACACAGAAGTAGAAAAACACAATTCACGCACGGCAAGGGGGGGACATCGATCATTTGCAGCTTGGTGAGAAATGACACAGATGGCGGTATTAGTAGACCGGCCATGAAGGAACAGTTACTGTGACTGCATTCCACTTGCGACGCCGGAGGGAACATCAGATGTGAGAAGCAGGGACACAGGAGCTATAATCAAGACCTAAGTCAAATTTCTAGAGATAAAAACTACCGGATGTGAGACAAGAAATACACTGCATGGTATTAATAGAATATATATCTGCAGGGGGAAAAAAAAGGACTAGTGAACTTGCAAACATAGCAGAAACTATCCAGGAAACATAGAACAAAATCCTGAAAACATAAAGGGAGAATGTCAGTAAACTGTGGGACCACGTGAAGGAAACGCGGTATCCATGTAGTCAGGGGACCCCCGAGAGGAGGGACAGGAGGCACAAAGCACCGGAAAAAATAATCACCAAATCCTTCCCAAACTTGAGGGCAACAGTGAGCTCACAGATCCCAGAGGCTCAAAGAGCCCAAGCCTAAGAACGATGAAGTAGCTTACACCAGTGAGCCGCTGAAAACCAGTGATAACGAGAGTCATGAAAGCAGAGGCTAAAAGCAAAACGAAATATTCTGTACGAAGGAATGAAAAGAATGACAGCTAATTTCATCTCAGAAATTAGCTGCAGAGTGCGGGAAAGGAAAACCTGGTCAATTCAGCATCCTGTACCAGGCAAGAGTGTCCTTCAGGGTGAAGATCGGGATGTTTTCAGATATGCACAAGCTGGAGGAATTCCTCCCAGGAAGAGCCACACACACTAGAGTATTATCCAGCCTTAGAGAAGGACATCCCGCCGTGTGCGATGGACATGGACAAACCTGAAGGACACAGCGCCAAGTGAAATAAGACAGACGGAGAAAGACAAACTCTGCAGGGTCTCACCCGTACGCAGAATCTCAGATAGTCCAAACTCAGCAGCAGAGAGTAGAACAGTGGGGGTAGATCGGAAGAGAGGAAGAGAGGAGGAGAGGAGAGGAAAGGGAGGAGGAAGGCGAAAGAAAGAAGGGAAGGGAATAAAAAGACAGTGGTACCCATGTAAGCTGACGGATATCAGCTGGCGGTCATTATTTTACCATACTTACATATAGTAAAAGCTCATACTTAAATAAAAAACTTAACCTACATATTTTTATATGTAGTTAAAAAAAAAACTTTACCTACATGCCTTAAATATATGTAGCTTTTATGTGTCAATTAGACCTCAATGAAGCTGAAAAAAAGAAAGAAATCATCACAGTCCACTTGCACTAAAATTACACGAACAGTTGACCTTCAGTCAGATCAGTGCTGTCGACAGAAATTGGGACCCACACAAAGGAGAGGTGCGCATCAGACGTGGCGTCTACCTGGGCAATGATCACATCTGTACTTTTCATTTTAAATACTTAGGAAGATAATTGGTTTAAGGCAAAAATGACGCTGGTGTCATGGGTGGTTTAGAACACGTGTGTAAGTTACATACATGCCAGCAAGATCGTGAGGGGTGACGGAAAGGAGCACATGGGCCCCAGAACTTCTCCTACTGTGGTCAGCTGCAGAGAGCGTCCCTCAAAGGTGCACACTACAAATCCCCCAGCAACCGCCACGTGGACACAGAGCTCTTGCTGAGATAAAGAAAAATAAAAATAATCCAAAAGAAGGCAGAAAAGGGGGACAAGAGACAAAGAGAAAACATGGGGCCACACGATAGGAGGAAGGACCATCTTAGCAATCATCACATTAAACAGAATCCACATGGCGGGGGACGGGGGCGTGGTCAGCAAACTTTTTCTGGAAAAGGATCAGAAAGTAACATGTTAAGGCTTTGTGGGCCATGGAGGATTTTTGTCACATTCTTTTCGGATTTTTTCACACCCCTTTAAAAATGTAAAACCATTTTTACAGGCCGTACCCAAAAAAAAAAAAAAAAGAAAAGAAAAGACAGGCCAGATTTGGCCTTCAGGCT